TTTCTAGATTATTTAAGGTCTATTCGAGATTTTTGGTCGCACCAGATGAGTTATTAATCTTGTTCTGTACTCATAGAGTAATTTCAGATAAGGTACACCGTCTACTCGTCACGCTATCTTATTTTCGGCCGGATAGATTCGTGCAACTTCTTAGTCTGATACCAATCATAATCTTGATCTTATACCTCCTAGTCTCAAAAGATCTAGTGTACACCGGTTTACGCGAGTTAGTTCCAGAATAACAACAGTATTCTAAGTTTAATTCAAATTGTTCTGGTGTTGAAACTACAAGTAGTTTCAACACTTCACAAATAAATAAGTTGTTAGTTTGATGGAGTATGATTGGTTAGTATTTAATATTTTATAGAGAAAAAATATCATTAAAAAACCAATAATAAAAACTAGTTTAGATTTGGTTCCATTATTCAAAATTGGCCAAAATGGCAACCTTCAAAGACTCATAACTTTGAAAAATGATCACAGATAAACATCTTTTCAAATCTGAGGTCAAGACAACAATAAACTTTGGCTGTTGAAAAACAAATTTCATCAAAAATGACTAAATACAAATACAGTCTTTAAATCCCCATAATTGCACGAAAAATGATCACTCAGAATACTTTTCACTCAAGACAACAATACTTTTTGAATAGTATAAAAACACTCCGTCCAAAATAGCTAGTTAAAAAGCCAAAACTTGATTGGAGAAAAAAATCGTTCACTTTCCATCACTACCGTCGAACGTTGAGCAATCAAAAACCACGGTTTGAGTGCAATTTTTGGCGTGGTAGGATGGCAATAAAGAGCGCTAGATTGGTAGACGTTTGGCACCATATGAAAAGAATTTCAATTATTTCAAAGAAATTGCACTTCTTGTACGTTTCCACGCTATTAAAACTATATAAATCTCCATTTTATTTTCTTTTTTCAATAAATTGAAACTTCGATTGCTTTCCTTCCAATAATTCATTGTGCCACTGAAAGTTTTCCATGAAACCTTAAAATGCAAATTTTTTTGTTTTCATTCGGTTTAAGTTGTCTAATTTGAATCAGAGCTTGATTCAGAGCACAAACTTGAATACCACATCCCATTTTGGAGGAACACTAAAAAGACCAGCTGGCTACTTGTCGGAAACTATCTTCATGAAAAAAGCAAAAAGACTACAATTCAATTTCCGACTATAAAAAACATTCATCAAAAGCCCTTGCTTCAACAGTTCCAAAAAATCTCAATTGTTTATTTGTATAATGCAACGAAATGGTTCAGCAAAAAGACTAAACTCAAACGTTGAAAAGCATTTATATTTGAGGAGAAAACTTGAAAAATGATTTTTGAGATTACCATGATGTCATATGTAGAGATCACTCGTTTTTTCATTCATCAGGCGATTTAATGATTTCTGAGCGCTTTGTTGTTATTAAATCTAAGAAACAAATTCAAATTTTTGATAAGTGCAAACATTGCAGATTGAGTGAAAGTGTTAATGAAATCTGTCAATTTGACAACGCTATCGACAAAACTCATAACAATAACGATCTGTGATGATTTGTGAAACGGCTTTTTAGAGAGCAATTTTGATTTTGAGCCTAAAATTGTGCAAAAATGTTTGTGACAGTTTATAAACAGAAAACACCTCTAATCAAAAAAACATGGTCTTAACAATGTTTTGATAAAATAAAAGACTTTGGCGCAACTATTTCGAACTTTTGGCTCAATTCAATTAGGATTAGGCGCAAAAAATAACTATTTCTGCTTGACCTTGGTTAAACTTAGGTCCTCAGCACGAGAAACTACAGAATATGCATGGAAATTCTGAACCTGGGCTGGACTTTTAAAATTAATTTTAAATCAGAGCTCGGTGCAAATTAAACCTATGTCTAGTCTTTATCGGACTCACCCAAGACTTCGATGAGTTTTTTTAAGTTTATCAAAAACAGCGAAAAATCTTAAGAAAATTCGTTTATTTTTAAAGCGAAAAAGTCCAAACATTAAAAGCATATCATCCAAAACAAGTATAATTGACTTGCAACTCAAAAAGTGATATCTAGACTGTTCAAATCTTGGAAAATTTTTCTTTTTAAGTCGTATACGATTTCCGAGAAGACAAAGAAAAACTTTTCTCAAAACTTAATGCGAAATTTATAGAAGATATGATGCATGTAAGATATGCATCACTTACAACGGTGGTCGGAAGATGAACTATCCATCCGGAGGAAAGAAAACAAATCGCAATACAAATGCCAAAGAACCTTCAAAATGCGAATAATCCGACACAACAAAAACAGGTGCAAACTCAAAAGTTATAAAAATTGCCACGGATAGGTTAAATGTAAGATATAAAAAGGTACAAGCAACAGTAGACAAAAGCACAAAAAAACGTATAGACCAGGTGGCACGGAAAACGATTAGACTAGCAACGAAGGTTAAAGATCCAAAAACATTCGAACAAAAATATAAAACCATAGACGGAAAAACTTTTACATATACTCCAGACACCGCATGGGCACAAACGTTTGGAAAGCAACCGAGACTTTTAAGAAACAGCGGAGCCGCATTTCTTCCTAGTCCTTCAATATACGGACCGTGCAGACCCTCTCGGCTCAGTGATTACGTCGCGTACAAATTCGCACGGAGATCAGGACCATGCCTACGTTTTTTAGACATCGAGAATCCTACTGCTCCTCATCACCCCGTGTTCGGGGAGGACAAAATAACAGGCTCACCAGTGAAACTATTTCGCCAGGAAAAGATGACAAGCCGGTCACACCCGAATAATCCGACAAAAAAAGGCCAAAGCGACGGGGAAAACGAACAAGCGGGCGCCCAATCCACAAAATACAGACAACACGCGGAATGAGTTTGCAAACTGATGACAACGTTCAAAAGTCGACAGATAACAACACTCGGGAGAAAACAGCATTCAGTAA